CACCCCTTTAAAAGGAGTAAGAACCCCTCACAGGTAAACCTGTTTGGGGAACTATACACTATACAGTCTATACACACATATATTGGAACCCCAGAGCCATGAAAAAGAAAGAAAGGACGAAGAAGCTCTCAACCAGTCCAAAACTCGCAAAATTCTCCAAATCTGAGAGTCATGGCCAGGCTTCATAGGGCCTGCAGTCATACTGATTCAGCAGTAGACTGAAGGACCTCATGGCAATGAAGGCAGATGTGATTCATCTCTTTGCAAGGCTTGGTGATCCGGTGAAAGTGTCTCAAAGTCTTATTAACAAAGGTTCCAGTTCCACGTGGTTTTGCAGATTGACCTCTGACGTTCATTTCCTTGACCTTCAGCAAGAGCTCCACGAAACTCCGACACATGTCCTGCTTTTTTCGTCGTTCTTCTTCCCGCACATATCTTCCCACTGGGGCACAAACAGCACAGATCTGGGTCAAGAGAAATACTGTGGATGTACTTTGGTGTACAAAGACTATTTAAACTTCGGCGAGCCAATGGCAGAACTGAAGCGGGCAGGCGGTTTTCAGTGCAAGTGCTCACTTTCTCACTATGCACACTCTCATGACCACGACATGGCTATGGCTCCAAATACGCACGAGGTGCGGCCCCTGTCTGGCCACACGCGCAGTGCGTCGTGCGCGTCGCCGTGCACCAGCGCGCCAGCGCCTGCCGCGAGAGCCCCGAAAGCCTCTGAAGCGTGTCGATCCTCAGGGGGTCGGAGGTCTCTTTCACGAAGGACGAGAGATCAGTCACGACGAAGGACATCCATAGTACGGTATGGATGATATGTGTATACACAATGATATGATATAATGTAGTTATTGTGTATGATAGACATGAAAGGTCCGAGTTTTCGGGGTATGAAGCTATGCCCGGTATGCTCTGGATTTCAGAAGCCAGACCCCTTTCGGGGCGGCAAAGCTTTTTGGTGCCAAAGCTTTCTAGGGATCACCTTCCGGGGCGGCACGTGCCACCCCGGCTCGCCCTGCCAAGGTGCCATTCTCGCAGGTGGCTCACTCCGCCCACACCTGGGAGAATGAAAAAAATATTCCAAGGACACCACTCGAAGTGATTAGCAGTGATGCTCTGATTCTGGGTTCATGAAAAAAAGATCTGCCACTGGCTGCTTTCTCCGAGTGAAGAGCCCAACTTCATGAAACGAGCTCTTCATCCGATGCAAGAACTGGGCTCCCCGAACGACCCTTTTGCCACAGGTCACGTGTGCTCTTGATCACCGCTTTCACCTCGACGGCCCAAAAGAATGGTGCTCGGGACCTTCAAGAATGGTGCTGGACTCGGCTCAGACAGCATCAAACACCCACACAGCTCGCCGCAGTTGTTTCCTCAAACCAATGTCTGACACCACCCCGGAAACCTTGCTGTGGGCACCCAAGACGATCTATCTCGCTCGCTCCCCTCGCCGGTCTCACGGACCCGAGGACGCATGGATCGGGTCCTGGTTCCCCCAAAAAGCCCACGGGGGCGAACCTCTCCCTTTCACTCCCCCACGGTCGGGTCCGCCTCCTTCAAGCGTTGTGGGGGCACGTCGCTGAGGTCTCCGAACTTCTCACCATCGCCTCGCCAGGGGGGCCGGGGGGGGGGCCGTCGACAGACCTTGGAGCGGATGTGGCGCGCCAGGAACCTGCAGGACTTATTTTCAAGGCATTTGCACTGGTACCTGGTGGCTGCCCGACCTGGATGGAGGGCCAAGGAATGGGAGTAAAAGTAAAGTAGGAAGGAAGGACATGATCACAAGAATCAAGGAATCGCACCAAGACCTCTTCACATGTGACCCTTTTCGATTCACCTTGCGGTAAAAAATAGAAACATAAATAAAGAAAACGCCATGAAGCAGTGCTCCCTTGGCACTAAACGAAATGAGATGATAAAATGATTGAGAAATCCACAGATTCTGGACGCGTCTTCTCTTCACACTGGGAACTGAAGGTTCAAGTTAAGGCCCCTGCTCAAATCTAGCTACTCTCTCTTGCCACGGGAAGCCCAGCAAAAAATAGGGCCTCCGCTTCCAGGTAACGCTTGCTTCGACGACCTCACGCATTGACGAGGCGTCTGTCTTGAGGGGTGACCAAATTCATCACGGCCCATGTTCATGTTTTTCGATGAGTGAAAAACCACCTGGGAGGGGTCATTCAGCATTCGGATGTATTTGAATGTATTTTGGTCCTTCAGGTTGAGCCATTCCATCCACATCGAAGCACCCTGAGTCTTCCGGCCTGATTCTTCAGGGTGTCCGACCCTCTCGGAAAACCCCGCGGAAGACCATCCGACCATCGGTCACGGAGAGACGGAGAGACGGAAGATCCATATGGCTGAGCTGATCGGAACAGCGGTCGACCGTAGCTCAAGCCAGCCGGGTACCGAACGACCCGGCGACCCGAACGCCTAAACCATTCTATCCATTCTTTTGCATTCCTGATCTCGACACCAGTTGCACCTGAAGACCCTGGTCGGGAGCTTCCAAACGCCTTTTTGGGGGCGCGAACATGTGGATTTTCGGAGGCTTTTGAGGGTTGGACCTCCAAACAGCGCCACCCAAGCACCCTGCAGCCCTGGCCCCTTGGTCAACTCCAAGGCCATGGCCCGCGTGGCCCGCGTGGCCCGGCGCCCTCCGCGTCGGAAGAAGCGGTCACAGAAGGCCGAGGATTGCCCTGGCCGTGATCACTTGACATGCGGGCGGCCGGACAAAAACGCACACTTTGTGACCCCCAATCAAGAAACACACACATGTTGAAAACGTTGGGCATGTTGAAAAGTGCTTTCCCAACGTGTTTCATGTTGAAAACCTTGGCATGTTGTTTCATGATGAGCCTCTTAAGAGGTCAACAAAGGAAGCTGAAACGCGAGCGTCCTTACACTCGCGTTCAACTGTGTCTGCTTGTTCTCTGGTCACAAAGAGGTAGGGGAACTGAAACCAGCACCCCTAGACATGTCTTCATCCCACCTTTCTACTCCTAAAGGTGATCTTGTGCTGCAAGTGTTTCCCTCCTGGGCGTAGACCGAGATACAGGAGTTCTAGATTCTAGACCCAACTCGCAGATGCAGCGTTTTCCAAAGGCATAGCTTCAGCCTAGCTGCTCCAAGAGACGATAAGAGACAGGGGGAAGACCAGGACAACAAACGCAAGGATTGTGCACTTCCGAGATTCTAGATGCAACTCTTGTGCCAGAAAAACAAGGAAAATGCCACGCCCGCAGATGGGAACCATCGATCTAGAACCTGACCTTTGCACAGACTATAAAAGCTCCTCGATGTGGCAGACTGTTTAGAAAGAAATATGCATTTGCCCAAAGCCACTTGGCTCGGGGAATTCTTATGATCCAACACTATCCGGAATCAGTTGGTCTCAAGATACAGAGCGGACGGCGAAACTGCGCAGTCGGTTCTTGGCAAAGACGCGAAAATGGAGGATGCGTATTTGCTTCTCCGTTGACGGAGAAACGCTGAACCACATCCAAGGAACTGCTTCTCCTCCAGGATGGATGACAGTCGTAGCATCGTAGCACGACTGTAAGCACTCGGGCATGTCCATTTCATCTCACCATTCCAGCGCTCGGTCACCAACCAATACACCATGGTGACGTGGATGGCACCACCTGGCCCTCACGACAGGCCAAGACCTCGCTTCCGGACGCGGTTTCAAGCTGCTTAGCCAACGTGGAAGCACATACGAAGTCTGCCTCACCAGCAAATAACGCCGTGATGCTGTACAATTCTTTTTACGAATGGCTATGGAAATTCAAGGTCTTCTCTGGAGGACCTGAACAACCTCAGAAGGGCACAGATCCTTCAATGTATGGCCCAAGCTGGCCCTCGGCTTCAGGGCTGGTCAAGTCTCGATGGCCTCCAACCTAGTAGCGTCCATTCCCCTTGTTCTGCCCTTCACCAGGCCCTCGTGCCGGGTGCGCCCGGCTCGAGCCGATGCCCAAGGTCTCTTAGCGCAGCTCTGCTCTGCATCTGTTCTGGACACCTCTCTAGCCATGGCACCTACAGCTTGCCATAAAACGGTGCAACCATGTCATCCAGCAGCCAGAATGACATTGCAACAGCCGGGCAGGGTCTTTGCTCTGGGGTCCAGAAAACGGAAGGACGCTCTTGTTCGCTTTTCTGGCCCGAAGCTTTCTGGTATTGCTGCTTGTGGGTGTTCTCTACCTTTGCTAAACTTTTCCGCGCTTTGCTAGGTCGACATCACCTGATCATCTGGCCTTGCTAGGTCGACACAACCATCAGCTGGATGGTAGGGCCTTTGCTCACAGGTGCTCGTGGAAGCCGAGGGAAGCAATAATATATACAGTAAGTAGTGCAAGAAGAGGAAGCCGAGGGAAGTAATAGTCAAAGCGTGCTTGCAAAAAAGAAGTGTGTGCCCACCACAGCTGCCCAGCATGTACATGCAAGCAAAGTGAGCTGCAGCAAGGTGCAAATGCATGAAGTTGCCAGCCAGCTTCCTACAAGACTATAAACTGTGTCGTGGTGGGTGAGTCGGAGACGTGGCTTGGAAAAGGGGTAGCCAGGTCATTCAAAAGACACCTCGGACTCCCAAACACGCCGTGAAACTGACTCTGGGACCTCCCAAACACACCAGCTAACCCAACACACCCAACACACCCAACCGAGCGCCAGATCTGGCGCCTCATCGCCCATGTCAGTCCCATGTCGAGCCGCAGCGACTTGGCTTAGAAATGCAGCGGGAGGAAGAAAGGCGTCGGAGACGGGAGCATTTTCTATGACCCTCCGACGAGGGGGGGGGACGCCGATCCGCTGCCTCGTCGGATCCGTGAAGCCTTTTGGAATCCGGATCCGTCCATCCGCAGCGGCCTTATCGCGAGTGTGTCTGTCATCAGAGTTTGTTGGGTCAACCCTCACGTCTGAAGACGTACTATCAAATGACACACGAACCAAAGGAGAAGCCTCCCCGTGAAAACGCTCAACCAACCTCTTCCTTTTTTCAGGGAGCGCTCCCCAGATGACTCAGTCAGCGGAGGCCAGCAACTGTCCTGGAGGTGGAGGCAACTCACAAGGCCAGGAATCACTTCCAAGACTCAAAAGCTTTGAGCTTCTTATCTCACAAGTTGAACAGGCACAAGCTGAAATCCTCTGCAAAATCCGCCACGAAATCCGTCACCCAAGAACCAATGTCAAACTACTCTTGGCTTCTGATTCTTTGAACAATAGGAACATGGAATCCTGACCCTCCACAAAGGGAAGGGCGTTGTCCAATCTACCTTGTGCTTCATCATCAGTGACCCTCTTCCAGTTTCTTCCGGTCTCTCACCATCTCCTGCCAAGCCGCTCCCCTCGGCATCCTCGGGATCTGCCTGTCATGGGGTCATGTTGTCAAGGTTTTTGGGTCATCAAGCCCCACACTCATCCCACACACATCCTACACTCATCCTACACTCATCCCATCATCCGTTCAGTCCACAGGGTCTTCACAAACCACCGCCCACCAACCACCGCCCCCCAACCAAGATGGATACACTAAGGCGTCCAAAAAACCGGTGCTTTGCCGAGTTCTTGGGGAGTTCTCCGCCAGAAACGATCGCGCCCACCTCCGGCACTTCAGCAGCCTGCGTGACGGGACGACGGTACGGGCGGTAGGGATTCATCCGTCAGCGAAGGGCCCCCTTTTCGGACACACGAGTGGTCCCAGCATGTTGCATGGAACAAGAGCGCTGGAGGGCTGCCGAAGCAACACATTTGTTGGCACTGGAAGAAGCGAAGCAAGGCGAAGTCTTTTCGCTGTGCTCAGTGGCACATCTGCCATGTGCATGATGCTCACAGTGTGTTTTCGTGCACATACAGTAAATATCTTGATTTTTCTGAAGTTTGTACATGCAACGCAACCTGCCAATTGCATGCAAGTCATGATCAAAGTCATGGTGACGTCCGGAGTGCGGGCCTGCTCTTGAGCATCAATCCTGTGTGGCAGCGCTGGAATCTCAACCGGTGTCTTAGAAAGAAATATGTATACCACCATGGTCTACGAAAACGCAGTGCTTAACGGGATTATCAGCAGTACCAGGTTAAGTGGGTCACTCTTGTTGACAATCTTCACCCTGCTCAAATAGGATACCATATTTTGGGCACTCCGCAGCTTGAGTGGGTTACCTTGCAGCTTCTGTCACTTTCTGCGCCTGAAGACGAAGAGGCCAATACAGCAAAGGACGACCAGCACCACATCCTCAGTTGTCGCTCGAAATTCGATAGAGTTCAGCAGAATATGCTGAAAGCCCTTCAAGATCAAGAATTGGATCTCACGAAAATACGATGGTCGGAGTACAGAACCACCACTTGAGTCACAGACCCACACGCAAACAGCCAACAGCCCTTTGAGTCACAGACCCGGGGTACAGTTGTGGTTTAACAAAAAGTAGTTGTATGAAAAAGACGCAAATGCAAAGCTGAGGTGTTTCTCTCAAAGCTCAGCACCTATCGAATCAGTCATCGAATCCAGAAATTAGTCAGGCGGCCACAACAGCGAAGGGGAATCCAGAAAAGATCCCGTTTTGAGATGAATCCGGAAGAATAAGTGAAATGTGTTGTTTTTCCATTTGGGCATAGTTTTCAAGTTCTTCAACAAGTTGTGCCGACCATGGAGAGTAGGCACGACAGGGCATACTGCCAACCAAAATTCTGTGGAAGCCCAAACGCACGAGAACTGATTTACCATTACGTTTGTTTTCACAAAATGGGTGGACTTTCGCAGTATGTTCCAGATACAGTACTTGACTATAGCGCGCAAATTGCATCCAATTTGAGTGCCCTTTTTGCTGGCCTAACCTCTGGAGAATCAAAGTCGTGAGTCATAAGGTTTTTGTATTCCTTGTGAGTCCTTTCACCCACAAAGGAAGAATACGATATGTCCTCGGAAATATATTCTCTCAATGTATCAAGAAGAAGACCTGTATATTGAAGATTTTCGGGAATCCAACGAAGTATTGATCCACCAAAACACAGAAGATTCTCGTACGATCTCTTGTGTCTACTACCCAAAAGTCTGACCCTTGGCCCCCTTGGCCGCTTGTCCTGACTCACTCGTTTTACATTACACGAGCGAAAACCCTCCAGGTTAGCGCCGACTCGGTCGGCGCACATCACCGCTGGGACGGACCTGACATCTTCTGCACCAAGCTGGCCGGGGCACCTCCAGGCAGGCACCTCTCCGATCTGAGGCCCCCAACCACCCCAGGGGTGGGCATCACCTGGGACCGACGGGCGGTTCACGCCTGGGTGCAGCGTTCCGGACAGCGGTGCCAGCGTCCAACGAGGCACCGACACTGCCAAGGACGCCAAGGACGCATTTTCCTGGTCCTCCCTTCATGAACGAAAAGTCCGGCCAAAGAGGGGTCCCACAGCCACCCAGACGGACGGGCGTTTTTCTGGGTGGATGTCCAGTTCCAAGGCCTTCATGTACTCCGACAGCTGGTCTTCGCCCCGGTTCACCGTGGACAACAAGCGGCGCCGAGGCCTTGCAGGATGACCACAACCCTCGAGTGTGACCTTCAACCCTGTTCCAACGTTTCAAGACTCACATGTCCAAACCGTCTTTTCCTGAACAAAGGGAGCTGAGTGAAGAAAGATGCGAAGAAAGGGAAGATAGACAGAGATAGACAAAAGACAAGAAATGACTAGAACATCTAGAACTCCAGTGGAGAATGACCAGTGTTCCAAGACTCCTGATCTGATTAGAATGGAATATCACCATGTCCACTACCCATGTCCCCAGAAAACCCCGCCTCCAAGTCACGGTGAAGTACTCATGGCCATGAAACTTCATGTTCGCCTGGACCAACCATCGGTGCCTCAGATCATGAGTGCAGTGCAAAGGGAGTCACAAGGACCGCAAGGACAGAACTCTTTGGAAGGGAAGAAAACTCGCTTCTGCACACCGTCAGAACACAAGTCACGAGGCGCGAAGCTGTGGATTCATCCAGTTGGAGCAGGATGACGCCGTCACACACCTCACCTTTCTGCAAATCTTGTCTTTCACAACGCGCAAAAACCAAGCTTCCTAGCCGTCCCGTGTCGGATTCCTGCGCCAGGGTGGCGTCTTCGCAAGAGTAGCAGCCCAGTGGCGGAAAACTGATAGAGGAGCAACAAAACACACACCCTACTGTCAATGTCTACCTTTCTTTTCCTAGACCAAAATAACTGTTTCCATTTGCCCAGAGAGAACCGTCTCTCGAACCGACAAAAGACAGAAAAAAGAAAACCGTCCTTCAACTCGTAGGCACCAGATTGCTTGCGGACCTTCAGTTTCTCGGGAGCACGCAGCTGTTATGGGAGAGATTGCCGTGGATGGGTTGGTTGCTGCTAAGGAAACTTCTCTGCAAACCATGGCCAACCTCAGGTTTGATTGATTCTTGATAATTATATACATATAATTACATCCTTTTGAAATCCTTGGGAATCCTGTTCAAATGTCCCGAAGGATTCGTGTGCGAGACCATGCGACCGTCGTGGTTGCAAGAACAAAAGGTCTAGTCATGGACGATAGTAGGCTACAGTACTTAAAATGGCACCTACACTGTTCCGATCAACTGGAATCCCCCGCGCTCCCCCCCCGAGCTGGATTCCCCCACCATGCCCAAACCCCACCGCCCAAACCCGCGTGGCGAGCGATGCTTCTGGGCTCCCAGCGAGACGCCCAAACTCTGCGCCCTGGCTGGGCAAGGTTTGATGAGGGAGGAAAACAAGGCATCAAGAGAGAGAGAGAGAAAGAAAGAAAGAAAGAATGAAAACACGATCTAAGGGTCACTCCAAACGGAACTCGTGCATCGGCGGTTGGTGACCCTTCGATCCGAAGGGTACGGCTTGTCCTTGTCCATCTGTGTCTGGGGTGTCCGTTCGGGGCGGCGTGGGACCAGACGCGGCGTGGGACCGGACGTGCCATCCTCGGCGTCACAGCGAACAGGGTGTGAAACGCTGGATGAAATCCGCGAAAAGCTCGGTTGGTCTTCGGTTTGTCTTCGTTGGTCTTCGGTCAATCAATGGCTTCGCTTCCTTGACGAACTCCGCAAGTGAAGACAGGGAAAAAGCAGATCTCAGGAGACGTCCATTCGCCGCACGGCGCGTTACTCCTCCGACGGCGCGCCGACTGGGCCTCTCCAGTGAGGAGTTGGAGCCTGCGATCGATAGATCCCAAGCACTTGCCTCAGTAGACACTCTGCGAGATGTATCCAAAAGGGATATCCATTGGTCCAAGATGTAAGAGAGTCAAAACCCCTCAAAAGTTCTGAGCCTGCAGTCTAGATACTCTAGATGCTCTAGAGTCCATTTTTCTAGAATAGACACGTTCCATCTTCAATCGTTCCGTCAGTTGGAGCGTTGGAGCAACTTTCGAAGCGACTTCCGCTCTTCAGACCCTTCAGCATCCCTGACCCGCGCTCACCGGCCGTTGGGGACCTGACCCTTACCGCTGCCGCTATATCCCAGCACCTGAACCCAAAAGAATAAATAGGAATGAAGGCATGGTACTGTAAGGTGCAAAATGGGAATGAAAGCATCGGCATGATGCGATGCTCGTGGTGCAACGTCCTTGACACGCTCCCCGCCCGGCCTGGATTGGTCCATATTGACCATCCTGTCTCGTGCTTGCTGCGACAGACAGGATAATAAATATCATCCCTCCCCAAGTCCACCACTTCATGGTTGTGCTGGTTGTGCTGTGCCGAGTCGAACGCCCTTTCCCCATCCTCCAGCCGGCGTAGGAAGGAACGAGGCTGCCAGTCCTGGAACTTCATCTGTTGCACGGCCAAGACCTTCTTGCCGTACATGCCTCGAGTTCTGTGGCTCAGAGGGGCAAGAGCCGAACTGGACTTCAAGCCAAGCCTTGGAACCCAGTTCTGCGGCTTGGCTTAAAAGCCGTAGCCTCATGGAGCCTCCAATCTGAAGGTTTGGGGGGGCTTCCACAGAGGTCCTGCAGACAGAAGGACTAGTGAGACCGTCAAATGACCCATTGGGAAGAATTCCCCATCAGCTCCCAGATCAAATGTTCACAGGAACCCACTCTGTCGTCTCCGGAAACAATCTCACCAAGCGCAAAACCAGACCAAATGACTGCCCCAGCTGTGATGCCATTGATGACTTCCCACATTCCCACGTCTCATCCTTCAAGTCTGTGTTTAAAAAAAAAGTGAAGGGGTCAACTCCTTCCAGTACATCAATGTTTATCCCCACATTCTGATCTTTTCTCAGCAAAATCTGGGGGTCTCAAGTATGTTGTGCGTTGTACAGCAAAAAAGCCTGCAAAACCAAGGTGCTCGTGATGTCAAACTGCCATGCCACATCTTGGGGCAGCTCGGGCGAGGACCAGCCTGGTCAGCGGATCGCGACCGATCCGCTGCGACCGATCCGCTGGGCATCGACCGATCGCGCGTTCCTGGACCGGGATTCTGCTTGATTCTGCTAGGGATTTGATGTACTCTGTAGTTGAAAGTATGACAGAGTGCCCTTGTGACTGGGGTGGAAGACCAACAAACAATGTTGCATCGAACAGATGAGCCTACCTTCAACCAAAACACAACACTTCACGCTATAGAGCCACTGCGATCAGCACAGGAATGTGATCTGCCACACACTGTGAGGACTTCAACTGCACGGGCCGCCGACTGCAAGCGCATTGTCAAAACAAGTACAGTACATCTCCAGCCCTGCCTGCGAATCGGCTCATTGTCTTCCGAAGCTTTTCCCTTTCCTGGCTGCTCTTTCAGACAGATTTGGACCCCAGGATATCACCTGCGCCACCTTTTCTTCGGTTCCGCCCACTCTTCCAACTCATGATTTCCTCTGCTGAAAGCTCTCCGACCGGCGTTCAATGGCTCTCACCACGTCTCGCTTGCTCTTCTCTCAACGGCCCCGGCCTCTTCGCCTTGAATTCACCGAACGTCCAGGAGCGGCGACCCGGCCCAAGCGGGTCCGGGTAGCGGCTTCCCTTCCCTCAGCCTCACCCCTTCCCGTCCCCGGGGGGACTCGTTGGGCTCCTCCAGTGCCTTGATGGGAATCAGCAGCGGCATGTCCGCCGAGGGCCCCTGTGCGCTTCTCGCCGCGCCGAACGGCCGGCGCTCGCGGAGCGCCGTTCGCGGGGCCCGGTTCCACCGCGGGTGGGCTTCGACGCGTCGAAGGGCCGGCTCGCTTCGTCGCGTCCAGTCTTCTCTCCGCACAAGAGAGGCGGAGGGCGGGGTTACGACTCTGTCATGAGGAAAAAAAGCAAAGGCACCAGCCGAAAAACCAGAGTCTGTGGATGAAAATCAGACAGTGCATGGACATGTCATGTTCAATTCAGACCTATCCTTCTAGGAAACTGAGAGAACTAGAACTAGAGGAACTTCTTCGTAGATTGGTAGGACCCTTCCCTTCAATGATCATCCAGGATCATCCAGGATCAACTCTGGGAGGTTTGGATGTCTCGCAAGCTGTCCCTGGGGCCCAGACTACTAGATTGGTGCTGATGCAAGGAAGGACTTCTTGTACTGAGTGGCAGCACACCAATGGCATCCGATGGTCGTGGTTTTTCCCCGTTTTTTTCCAGACCAGAAGCCACATGCGTTGATGCAGAACCTCAGAACCTCCTTGAAAAAATGAACATTGAACATGTGCCATGCATGCGAATCAAGAGATGTCCACATCAAGAAGCAAGACAGCTACAGAGCTTGGCCCAGCAGAGCAGCTTCCAGAAGCAGTCATGGCAAGCTCTGGATGTGTCAAAATGTGTCAGAAAAGCTGTGACACCTTTTGACCCCTCTGAATCATCGAGGAACTGACAGGCTTCCAATCTTGGCATCACCCAGGAGGTTGCCCTTTGATAGAAGTTTTGCAGCCTGAGTCATCGCCGCAGTCACAGGCGCAGTCACGTGACTGATGTCTGTGTGGGAACATTCCTTTTCTGTGTGACACAAAGCAATCGAAAGCACATCGCTTTGATGCGCCACCCGCTGTTTGGACTCGAAGGACGTGGAACTTCCAAGGTGCCAAGGCTTCAAACCCCAAGGCTTTCGTTGTGTTCGATGAGCGCAAAACAGCGCACCGTTCCAGGTGCCCGCACCGCGATTCCCCGGTCTCCTGCGAGGAACCTCAGTCGATGTGAATAGGACCCAACAAATCCACAAATATGTATTCTCTAGAGACTTTCTGGTTTTATAGGACAGGAAGTGGAAACACATGAGAGACTGAAAGATAGTGTTTTGCGGTGCCACATGCTTCGGGCGCTTCGTCATGTTGCGACATGGGGAGTGGAATTCCACCGTGAGTGGAATTGCGTCCAGATGGTTCAAGATCTCATTGCCCACGACCGGTGGGCAGCGCAGGTCTTTGCCAAGCAGCCGTTTTGAGAACCCGCCTGGCATGAGAAGTCTTGCGTGACACACAAAGGACAAATGGCTGGTGAAAAACCAGGCGGCTTCACTATCAAGAAGATGACCAAAATGCACACCATGCCCAGAAGCACAACGGCACTGTCCTTGCACAGCTCCAACCCAAAAGAATTCGGGGGCTGGATATCAGGAAGCATTTGAACTTTGAACCAATGAATCAAAGCTACCCAGCTACTACCAGCTACCCAGCTAGCAGCTTGCAGCATCACCCCGAAAGAATGGTGTTCCACCTTGCAGCATCTGCTCTGAGATCCGATCGCTGGTTCCCAAGCCGCTCTTCCTGACGGCCGCCACACAGCCACAGTGATCAAGCCACATGCCTTTCTCAGAAATGCAAAGAAGGAAGGTCTTGCTGCAGCTCAGTGTCGCAAATGCTGTTGATCCTGAAGCAGTCTGCCTGAGCAATCCAGCTCACCTTTCTACAGACCCAGCTTTCATCCTCCGTCCACCTTCATAGCAGAACTCCGAGTAGCAGGCTACTAATAATCCAGAGACGGTCAAAGTGGTCTAAACATACCACAAAATAATCAACATGATCGGAGCAGGAGGAACAAGTTGGACCCCTGAGTGGCGAAAAAGAACGATCGCCACTCCAATCGCCCCAGTCTGAACGGACGACCAAGGCAGCCGCAAAATGGCCAAGTGCTTGACGACTTGGGGTGCAACCTGCCAGGTGATCTCTTTCATAAAGAGATGAACTATCCCGAACTGCAGAACCTGTTCCCTCCCAAACAAGATCGTGTTCTCCCTCCTCTGGAGCCTCTGTTTCTGTGGTGAAGCACCGCACGTGTCACGGACGACCAAGCTCCAGCCTCCATGGAGCCCGTGGTCCCGTTGACCTTGATGGCCTCCACCGGAGCCCGCGAGTCCCGCTCAGACGCGACGCGCCGCTTCCTCGCCTCGCCTGCGAGCCCACTTGCACCAAGCCCACCCCGCCTGGGAAGGTGTCAACAGCAACGAGAAAACAGCGATTTGAAAGAAGAAATGGGCACACTGCATGTCGAACTTAACTTAATTCCCTTCTATTCTAGTCCACAACGAGACTGTTGTGCTTTACCTTTCGTGATGACTGCAGCACCTCCACAATTCTGAGTGCTGCTGTGCCGTTTGGCTTTCAGTCAAACCATCCATTGCGACATAAACGACACCAAAACCCGTTCATACTCGAACCAACGGCGATCGATCCAACCCCTAATCCAGCAGAGAATGACACAGGCCAATCCAGCAAAAACAACACCAACGACAGTGGCTGAACGATGACCAATCCTATAGGTCCTATAGGTCCAAACGTCAAAACTAAAACATTTTATGGATAGATCCCGGATAGACGTGTCTCAAAGAAGCCCAGAAAAAGCTCTGCGGCGCCAACGCCATGTACACCGATCACGCTCACCAACGGGTGCGTCCGGCTACGCCGTGGGTGTCTCGCCTCCACCTCCCGAGTCCAGATCCGCTGGGCACCTAATTCGGAAGCCCGTCTCAACGAGACTGAGATGCGGTGGAAAACTTGAGGTCAAAAGCATCTTGAAAATGTTGGGGGGAACACCCCAACATTCCCGCTGTCGATGGGTTTTTTGGACCATTGTCGATCGTCGATCTTCGAGCGCGTGACGCAGAGAATGATCCCGCCTCTGACTTGGATCGTATCTAAAACCTGAAAAGTACAAAATGACAAAGCCAAGATTGCATTCAAGACCTTTAGCAGCCTTAGCAAATGCCCCTTACACAACAGCCACAATGTCGCTTGAAAGTTCCAAATGTGTAAATGATTGTCACCTAAAAACCCAGCCTACATCAATCGCATCTGTGGAAACACATATGTACGAAATGCATCGAACCATTCCTCCGTGGCAAAAGAAAGCGAGCTGCACGGAATCCCAGCGAGTACAAATCCTACCGCTGTGCCTGGGTGACATGGCCAGCTATTCCCACAACCTGGCGAACGGAGTTGAATTTGGCTTGATGACGAGAGGAGACACACTGAGGCCATAAACCAGCCGAAACAGCTAGTTCTTCGTGCGCTTGTGTCGCGTTTCATCACAAAACAAACATCAGATTCACTAGTTTTTTGGAAGGAACATGAAGGAACGTATTTTTGAAAAGCATCATTCCAGTGACCCAAATCTGCAAGCTTGCACAGGGAGACCCAAGAAGAACCATATCAATAGCAGGGCATTGTTCATGGTCACTATGAAACATGCAACATGCAGCCACACGATGCCTTAAATGTATATAATCGAATGCGTAGTCTAAAAATTGTGTGTTTGTGGGGGCTCTGCAAGTTCGAATCTTTATCTATGTTCAATGCATATGTTCCAGAAAGAAAAAAACTGCTGGCTGTTGTTCGGTGTCGGGCAAGCAGGAGCGGGTTTTTTCCTGCTATAAGCTTGAGACCAAAGGCATCATGTTGCACGAACGCTATCAAAGAATGTCTTCGACCTTAGTCCTTCCACATAGAAAATGATGTGGGATGATATGCGATCTGTCCGGGTTTGGTCGGCGAACACCGCCACATGTTTAATGGACTCCCTAAGCAAAGACTTCTTCGCCGCATGTCAGCGCCGCTCCGCGCAGGTCCACGTCTCCCACAAATTTTAAAGGAAGAGTGATGATTCATTCCAAGTCGTTCGGGAGGAAAACCAGTTGTTGCACGATTTGTTTTGGACCAAACCCACACTACTCAACAGCTTTCCAGGGCCCGTTTTGCAAGGCCCTATTTTTGTTACTTTGTGTACAAATCGTTGGTTTGGTGGGTTTGAGGTATTCACACTCTGGACCCACAAAAATCAACGTCAAGCGATCGAGACGAATGCGGGTGTCGCGACATTGGGACAGGTGGAACATTCTCGTCGACTTGCATAAGCCAAAAAGGACATTTTTCGAGACATTTCCTTCACACAAAATTCTTGGGCACATGGCGAAACATGAAGCAGCCAAGCGCACTCGACGTCCAAAATTGTCGGGTCAAGAAACAGCCACGCATGACCAGCAAGTTGTGACAGAGTTGACTTTGAGCCCAAAGAAAGGAGTACACGGTATCTGTGCTCAGGGCCTTATTGTCAGGCCGTTGGCTTCTTCGTAGCCAAGGATGACTCTGTAAATGTAGCGCTGCCACATAGCAACGAAGCATGACAAAGCCGCATGCGCAGGTTGGCTTGCCGACAGAGCCGCATGCGCAGGTTGGCTTGTCGCTGTCCCTTTCCCGGCCCAAATCTGTGCGCCCATGTTTTCGTCTATCTCCTACAGAGATGGGAGGGCATTTGCATTTGAGCAATGGCCGCTTGAGCGCAAGCATAAGAACGCGGCAGCCATGTACTTCGTGTGACACCTTGTCTGGAACTCCAGCTGCCATGGTCGCTTCTACTTGACTGAGGAGGAGTTCCAAGGACTCATGGGTCCCCCCCGTTCTGGGCTCCAGACCACGGGACTACAAGGAATGGCGTGCTCGCATCCGCCTGTATCAGAAGAACACGACCTTACAAAAGAAGCAGCAAGAAGGGGTGATCAACTTGCTCAACATCCTGACTCCTTCTTGGTTTTTGACCTGCGGCAGACTGCGCAATGCCATTGCAAAGGACTGGAGAGCCACGAATGTAGCCACGAAATCAATGGCCTTTTTGGTGCTCCCCACTCCTCCCGTTTCGCGCGCATGAACAACTTGCAATTCGGAGTCCCATGCGCAGCCGGCACCGCACTCAGACCCAATCGACTGTGAGCAGCAGTGAGGATAGGCACTGGGTAAAGGTTTTTAATGACTTCATTCCCCACCAACATCCGGAGAACCTTGTCAATAGCGGAGATCTTGTTTTCGCATTTCTTCCCTCCTTTAAGCGCACGCAGGTAAGGCTTAAAGTTACGTGAAAGGAACACAAAAACTGAAACAAAACTCTGCAGGTGAGACAGAGCGAAGCACGCCAAGCAAGGTGAAACAAGTTGGACAATCAAAGGGCGAGCGAGCGACAAAATGAAGGTTCAAGACACCACAAACGACTCCATGTTGTTTCCTTCGGAGCGCTCAGGAGGGCCCAGCGTCACTAAAAGGAAAGCGAGGAAACTGAAGGGAAAGTTTCAGGCAAAACAAGGCGAAACAACGTGCCGAAAGGATGAAACAATGAAACGCACGGCCCGGCGCTCAAGTGTTCTTGGACAGGAAGAAGTAGCCTGTTTGTCAGCTGGAGTCGTGGCCGACAACCTTGCAATTCCGAAGTACAACGGCAGTGTGCGGGCGGACCTCAATGGGTTTAGAACTTTGCTTGCGGCCATACTTGACCCATGGTCCCATGGTCCTCTCTTTTTCACTCCCCACCTGTCAGCTAAAGTGAGGGTTGTTAGATGTTTAAATCCGTTCCTTCTCCTCTTCTTGCTCCGCTCTGCTCGGCCGGACCTCTTTTTGCGACGAAGGTCAGCTACTGAAGAGATTAACGGTTTCCTGCAGTCAAACAAAACCAAAGAAGCCAACAAAACAACCAAACCAAACACCAAACATCACCAAACCAAAGAACCAAAACAAAGACAGCGCAAGACCAACCAAGCCAGGAAATCTTATATATAGATATCTCTGAGGTTTTTCTCCGTGCACTTGGATTATATAATTGGGTGTGAAACGAAAGCTGGATTGAAAGGGATCTTTGCCAAGAAAGTGTTGATATCGACTTGTGACTTGCTAAAGGCTGTTGTGCTCTCACAATTTGTAGCCATACCAATCTGCATGACGCAACTGTGAGAAGATTCCAATCATAGTCACGGGCGCAGTTTTGACACGCTGCTTGACTTGTGCCTTCCGTGACATTGAGAAGGTCCTCGGTCCAGGGAAAGGCAGTTTCAAAATAGTCATGGCTTTGGGCAAGTTCAAAGAGACTCGATGTGAGGATAAAGGTGGCGACTTCATGTTGACTTTGCTGGTGACATTGACGACAAGTAAATGAAACTTTAGAGCTTGCCTTGTTCATGAAACGGTGGAGGGATGAGTGCAACAATGGTTTCATATGTGAGCTTGAGGTCTTTATGAATGTCAGTGGGGAGAGTGGACATGGCAAGTGCAAGATGATAATGACTGAAGTCATCTTCTTGGAACCCTACTGCAGTGGTCCATCCTTTGGCAACTGCAACCATAGCTTGATGGCCAATGTGGTTGTCAAAGTTGACTTGCTCTTGCCAATTTGCTTTGGAAAGAATCCAAAGAGCAGTGGTATAAAAGCAGGCCATAGCATTACGGTCATCAAGGAGTTTGGCAGCTTTTTGGAAGTCTGTATCACCAAACTCCATATGTTGGAGCGAAACATCCTTGGCCACCATCTGCTTAAAGGTCTGAATATGTGCAAGTTGCCGTTTTTGTTGTATGACGCTAAAGGCGGTAGAATTGTGATTGACGTGCACAGTGGAACTTTGCACATGAGTTTGTACATGGGAGGGACAGTGACTAAGGTCACCGCCTTCCCTGTGCTTGCTGATTGGGTTACGAATGTGAGAGGGACAGTGACTAAGGTCACCGCCCTCATTATATTCTTTGCTTTCTTTGCTTTCTTTGTGCTCTTTACTTGGTTTGCTGCTTAGTATGTCATAGGCGTAAGGATTCATGCAAGACCGAGCGGCTGGCTTCTCCTGGAGATTAGCCTTTTGGTTTTCAACAAGGACAGGATGGTTTACCTCTTGCCGTTGCTGTTGAATACCACCAATTTGCTGGTCAACATCTCGATCGATAGTACTAGGAACTTCAGCATGTTTGGGACTATGGAAAGTGGTGCTCTCGGCAGCACCTTGCTTTCGATTTGCTGGATTAGCTTCCCCAAGCGCCTGATCGAATTCTTCGATTATGTCCTGCATGTACTCTTCATCCAATTTTGATGTGGGTATAGACGTCTGTTGGGATGTGCTACCTTCGTGTCGATCTCTGATTGGCACAGCTTCACATGACACGTTGTCGATGGTTGCGGCCTGAGGCATAGGGTCATCTGACACCTGAGTCGACTTAGCTGGAGCTTCAGGGGGGAGTGAGCCCATTACCACTGATGCTACTAGTCTTAGGCATGTTAGTCTTGCCTGTTTGCAATTTAGCGTCAATGGACGAAGGCTGTAAGTTTCTCGTGTCTTTTTTCTTTTGATCTTTATATACCAAAGGAATCTTCAAACAAGTCCATGCCACCAGCACGCTCTAAAGATAATCGTGCACAATCAGCAGAAGAGTGGTCAGCAGGGTGCTGCTTTCGCTCCAGTGATCGAGTAGTGGGTTTGGGCTTCAGCATTTGCTTTGCACAAAGGTTGGTCACGTCAGCCATAACCTCTTTAGTATCACTGGGAACACAGAGTTCAGGTGTGACAGGACTGGTGACATCTTTACTGTGATCGGACGTGGACGAGGGGGTCGAACGCAAAGGGGACTTTCTGCTATTGGTGTGCTTCTCCGGAGTAGCAGTCTCTTGGCATTTTGCATTGACTTTTGCCGAGGGAGCAGGTTGGACTGCAGTAGGCAAGGCAGTGTTGCTACTCTTGGATTTCCATGATGAGGCTTCTTTGTTACGAGCATCTATATGCCAAACATTCAGAATTCTGCCTTCAGGTGCACACTCAAACAAGTCATAGATTCCTATTTGGCCCGGCAAGAAAAGTATGAGGTTGGTGTGGTCATAAACAGCAAGCTGTAGAACATTGCTGAGACACTTTGATACCCGGCCTCTCTCAAATCGAGGTTGGAGAACATTGAGGATTTGTCCACTGTTAAGCTGACAGTGAACGATACACCCGGTGGGCGGCAGTACAGTGATAGTCGGATTTCCTTGAGAGTAGGGTACAGGTCTGAGAATCTGACAAGCAAGAAAAATCGAATGATGATTGAGGACGTTCTTCTCATGAAGTAGGATGTTAAGCAGTTGGGAAACATCCTGCATGTCAAGGTCAAGATTGACCAAACAAATGCGATGCTAAACATGTCGCGCTCCTTGTCCTCACTTTGACTATCTGCCGGGGCACTCTCCGAGCTTCTCTCCACCCTCGTAGTCGACTCAATGAACTTCGGAGCTGGCGGTGGAGTTGGCAAGTGCTTCGGAAACATAGGTTGTGGACTCATGGCGCTTCTTTCCCCAAAGGAACCTGACAAGATACTTGGCGACTTAGCCTGAATTCGTACGCTTCCATGACAACCTCTGACTCAGATTCGCGCACTCACAACCTTTCGGTTCGAGCTCGTTCCTTTCCTTCTTGCTTGCCTTTCTGTGCC